GCACCTGCCCAAGACGACTAATTTAATAGCATTTGCAAAGCTTAGCTAGAAAAACTGGAATTTTCTGAACATGGTAGAGTCCTGAGATCTTCTACAATACGTCTTGTAAATTGATCTCTCTATTTCGGGAAATGATTTACTTTTCTAATTCATAATTGTTCAAAAAATAACAACTATTAGTTTGTAAATAATATTTGCTTATTTTCTCGTAGTACGTACTGTAACAACAATTGCTGGCCAAGCACCTGTTGATGTTGAATGTAAAACCTTGCTTGGAAAAACTCATGTGTATAGTGAAAATAAAGATATATTTGATTGTATGCTTAATCAAGTAAGATATTTTTGTTTTTTTTTGTTTAATATGAATCTAATTGCTTTATATTAGACCAATATTGGAAATAATAATAATAAATTTTATGTAATTCAACTTCTTGAAGATAATAATGGTAAAAAATATCATGTTTGGTTACGTTGGTAAGATTAGAATTCTTAAATGATCAAGTATTTATTTATTTGTATTTTGATTTAGGGGTCGTGTTGGCTATACTGGACAAACTTATTTGGAAAGTTTCGATGGTAATTTAAATGATGCAAAAAGATTCTTTTGTCACAAGTATGTAGTTTATATTCAATAGGAATAATTATAGTGTACAAAATATTATACTAGATTGATCTCAATAAGATAAGTAGTAGAATAATATCTATTAGGTTTCAATTTAGATAAGATAATTGCACTAGATTCGTAATCTCGTTTTAATATATGTTCAAGATAATATCTGTTTGTAGCTTCTTGTTTCTATTGAGAAAATTTTAAAGTTACCTTCTGTCTTCATAAAATGTACAACTTTCTGATAGACTCTACTGTAGAATATGCAGTGGCGTACGCAGGATTTTTCAGAATGCTGAATCTCGAAGTCCGAGCATGGGATCCAGATGAAAGTCACGGGAGGTAATGTTGGACCCAACTGATGGAGTTTTATCAAAAAAAAATTTGCACTCGGAGTTTGCGAAAAAAATTAGCATTTTCTTGGCCCCCCCCCCCTAGT